TGATCCACAATCTTAGTTTCACTCGTGGTAAAATTTCATACAATTAAGTTACCAGTTAGTTTGACGTTACGGTATCATCAACTCTCTAGTTTACTTCTCGAAACATAAACCCGAGATTTTATCAATGTCTTCCCCAATCTAAATCCAGGCATGACCATAAACCCAACAGTGTAGCTACAACTCCCTTCTAACACTTCCTCATCTCCTTTGACAGATTCCATGAAGGTATCCAAGAACTTGCTATCACTTCTAACCACAAAAGCCTCTGCCTTATTAGCTGAAGCTGCAATGCCTCCTAAGATCCAAACCCATTTCGCCATTTTTGCAAATATTTGATAGAACAGTGTTCTTGGATGCTTGCCACACTGCACGAGTGTTCTATGATCCAAATTGCCAAAAAATGAAGCTTCCATCACCGGATGAACAACTAAAAGGTACTTTCTCTGACAAAACTTACCAAATTCAGAGTTTGGATTCATTAACAAGAACTCTATTGGATCATCAAACTTCTTGACATCTTCAATATTCCATAGCTCATACGACATTTCGTAGAACATTCTTCTAGCTATGTAAGCTTCAAATGCATATTTCTTGTCTGATCTTTTGAAGAAAACAGCTGATTCTGCTATAGATTTTGCTGCAACATCAAGATCCCACCCTGAAGCTTTCATCAAAGCTATTAATGGTTTAGCAAAATCATGAATGGATTTGTAAGTGGCAATGAATGTTTCTTCAAAACCATTGATGGATGAAGAACTTGCTCCCCTTTTCATAATTTTCTCGCCCAACATTTCATTCCTCGAATCCAAATCTTGAAGCCGTTGCTTCAAGGAACGAGCTTCAATGTTTTGAGCTTCCAACTTAGATTTTAACTCTTCCAATAGCCTCTCTTGATATCTAACTTTCTCCTTAAGAACATCATGTTGGAAGCTTTTGGACTCAATTGCATTGAAATGGTTCTGTTTCAATGCACGTTTGATCTTCCAGAGAGCTTCCAGCTGAGTTACAATAAGTTCATCAGCAACAATGATCTTCTTTGGCTCATAGGGTATATGAGCTTTCTGAAACTGCAAATAGGCAAATTTCAAAGAAGAAAGTATGTCAAAAAGCTTCAAAATCTCATCACCATCGCTGTTATTGATATCATTAGCAAATCCAAGTGGCTGAAAATGGACTCCTCCACCACCATTTCCTTCACCCTTTTGCGTGGGCTTGGTATTAGTGCCATAGCAGTCATGGCAACGGGGATTTTCAGAAGAACACAAACCCATGATTCGATTCTCAGAAGAACACAAACCCATGATTCCATTTTCAGAAGAACACAAACCCATGATTCGATTCTCAGAAGAACACAAACCCATGATTCTCAATGAGTATTAATTTAGTAAATTTAGGATACCCAACAGAGTTCTTGAGTTGTAGAGATCAGATATGAACCAAAATACAAAAAAAAAATCAGCAGGGAAACACTGAAATTAAAGCTTGTTTCATAGGAAATACAAGAAATCCAAAAAGAAGAGCAAGAAAAATGAATCGCTTACAAAGAGGGAAGGGGAGCTGAGAGAGTCATCTTTGAAGGACAGTAAAGGAGGCCGTTAGAAAGCGATGGCGGCGGCCAAGGGTTTCGAAATTCAAATCTTAGGGAGGCTCGCTTGGATTTAAAAAAATGGAAAAGAACAGTCGGCAGCTCCTCCCCCATTGTAGGGGTCCTGCAACGGACACTCCTTGGAAGCTTGAAATTTGAGTGCCTATAAAATAATATATTATAAAAATGATAAATTTTGTAATGAATTCCAATTGTTTTGAATTTAATGGATGGGAATGGATGAATGTATTAGCACCATACCCCTACATCATGGGTCAATTTGTTCATTTCATAGATTTTCGTAGCTTTGATATGATTTTTGTAGCTAAGACTGAGAACATGTTGATGAAGGTAATTAGTCCGAGGTTGATACTTGAGTCCTCTCTCGGGATTGAGTGAACTACAATGGCTGATATCTGAGTCCTTCCCTCGAGATTGAGTGAACAATCTCATAACCCTCCACCTGTAGTCCGTTCATTAAGAATATTCTACTGTCGTTGAAGTCTAAATGTTTAAGAAATTGATGATGAGGGTGAAGATGACTCTGATATAAGCACGAGCTTTGGTGAGAGGTTGTAGATAGAAAGAAGGGTCACGTTTTTTTTTTTTTTTTTGATGAAAATGATGTTGAAAATATAGAAGAAAATAAATAACGAGTGAAAATAGCAATATTGATAAGAATACTCTTAATATGGATCTAAGGTGTGTAAGTCTCATCCACATTATAAGGCTCTTTGAGGAAGACTCGATAACTTTATAACATACCTCTCTTGTTTTATATATAAATTGTAATTTTTTTTCCTTAGTTTCGATTTTCTATACTAGTGTCTAGAAAAAACCTCGAGTTCGAAAGAAAAAATTAGCTCACCGACAATATATTTCATCTATAGACTTTTCGTTTAATCGAAAATACCGACCAACCTCTTTATCAATTCCGTTCAACTAAGATATCAAAAGTTCAAATTCTCGCCCGCTCGCCCAATTCATGCAAGTTTGAGGTTGAATAATTGAGAAACAGATCTCATGTCAGAGTTGGCCCCAGCTGCTTCCCCTTTGCATTATTTGTCCCCTCCCCCAACCCTTTCTCTCTCATTCTTCTAACTCTTTTTCTTTTTAATATCACTACTTACACTCATCTTTTCACCTCTATGAGCTACATTATAAGTTTTACCATGTAATTCATTAGGATTTACTTAACCACCCTAACATAGTTTAACGGGCTAAGATAAGTACCTTCGATCGAGAAGTCTCGGTCAAAAGTTTATATGAATTTATTGTCGTAATCCCATTTGAAATGGTTCGAAATGAAACCGGGACGTTGTCCTTACGTTCGAAAGTGTAAAATCCCATATCGATTGGAAATGGGAACAAAACATTCCTTATTAGAGTATGAAAGTCACTCTTTAATGGACATATTTTAAAAATCGTAAACCTGACGGCGATACGTAACAGATCAAATGGATAATATTTGCAAGTAGTAGACTTAAACTGTTACAAATGATATCAGAGCCAGACATCGGGTGGTGTGCCAGCAAGGATGCCTGCCCCCAAGAGGGGTAGATTGTGAGATCCCACATCAGTTAGAGAGAGGAACGAAACATTCTTTGTAAGGGTATGAAAACATCTCCCTAATAGACGCGTTTTAAAAACTATGAAGCTAATAACGATACGTAACGGCCAAAGCGGACAATATCTACTAGTAGTGGACTTAAACTGTTACAGGTGATATTAGAGTTAGACACTTGGCAATGTGCTAGCAAAAACACTGTACCTCCAAAGGAGGTAGGTTGTGAGATCCCATATTGGTTAGAGAGGGAACAAAACATTTCTTATAAGGGTATGAAAACCTCTCCCTAATAAACGTATTTTAAAAACTATGAAGCTAATAGCGATACATAACGGCCCAAAGCAGACAATATCTACTAGCAGTGGATTTAGACTATTACAAATGATATCATAGTCAGACACGGGCAGTGTATCAACGAAAACACTGGGCCCTAAAGGAGGTAGGTTGTGAGATCCCACATCGGTTGGAGAAGGGAACAAAACATTCCTTATAAGGGTATCGAAACCTCTCCTTAGCAGATACATAACGGGTCAAAACGGACAATAAATTACCGAAAGAAAAGTGAAGAGGGAGTAAAAAAGATGTGGGGATGGTTTAAAGGTCATCAGTGGGGGAATCTAGTTGAAAACAAAGGCTTAGCAACAAATATGAGAAAGCAAAGGTTTTTCCTCTTTTGTTTTGTTTAACATATTTCCACATGTTTGCTCAATCAATGGCCTGCAAGGGCTCCCCCTTCCATCTTATTCATCTCTCAACACCAAAACCCAAGTGGCTCCTTCTAGTAAAAACCAACTGCTCAAGAAACTTCCCCTTCCTGCTCTCTCCTCCTTCATAACCCATTACTCCAAACATAAAACAAACAACCCTTCATACCATGATTCAAAACCTTTCCAATTTTTGCCCATAGGGACCATACGAAGGGTTACGATAAGCACGATCGTTTTAGTTCAAAATAGACAGTATCATACATGTGATGAAGATATGTTCGAGTCGAGCAAATAGTTTTAGGAGTTGGTACGAGGTTCGTCGAGGGTATGTTTTATTGGCTTTATAACCGTGTTGGATGAATCGAAGTGATATATTTGGTGGTTTTTTCGAGTTTGGATTGAGTGAGTTGAAATGTTGGGATGAGTTAATGAAGAAAAAAACCAAGAGAGAAACGGTTACATTGGTGTGAGATCCCACATCGGTTGGAGAGCGGAACTAAACATTCCTTACAAAGGTGTGGAAACCTCTCTCTAACGGACGTATTTTAAAAACCTTAAGGGAAAGCTCAAAGAAGACTATATCTGCTAGTGGAGGGCTTGAGCTATTACAATGGTATCAGAGCCAAACACTAAGACGATGTACCAACGAGGAGGTTGAGCCTCAAAGGGGGGTGGACACGAGGCGGTGTGCCAGCAAGGACGCTAGGCCCCGAAGGGGGTTGGATTATGAGATCTCACATCAGTTGGAGAGGAGAACGAAACATTCTTTATAAAGGTGTGGAACCTCTCCTCAACGGATGTGTTTTAAAAACCTTAAAGGAAAGTCTAAAAGGGAAAGGCCAAAGAAGACAATATCTGATAGCGGAGGGCTTGAGCTGTAATAAAGGTATCAGAGCCAAACACTAAGCGATGTACCAGCGAGGAGAACGAAACATTTTTTATAAGGGTGTGGAAACCTCTCCCTAATAGACGCATTTTAAAAACCTTGAGGGAAAACTCGAAAGGGAAAGTCCAAAGAAAACAATATCTGCTAACAGTGGGTCTAGACTGTTACATGGAGATCCCGAGAAATTAGCTTAAAAAGGGAGTGAGGAGAGGGAAGGTAGAGGTTTTTAGAAACAGGTGCAGGCAGTGGAGGGGGTAGAGCAGAGATAATCTCAGCAGCAGCCTGTGCGTTGTTTTTGTATTTCTTCATTTGGAAATCATTGAAAGAAGGAACACCAAAACCCCTGCAAAAGAATCCAACGCCTTTGGACATGGCAGTCCTAAGCCATCCACAGCCAAATCATATCAGATTCTTCCCCTTCTTAAACTTCATCTGATCTTCATCCCACTCTAAATTTCTTGATCCTCTGCTGATGGAGCTGAGTAGAAACACACTCACTGAGACCAAAACCGCTCATAAATCCTTCTCGTTCTTGTTCTTGTTCTTGATACTGATATCATTCTCCTGCAGCATGATATCTAGTGCAGGTCCAGGTGATATCTAGTTTTACCTCTAAACCTCTATGGATATCTCTGATCTCTCCTGATGGATATCTGTTCTTATTTTTCTTCAGATAATAGGTGCTGTTCATCTGCTAAAGCTGGCCATACAAATCTCCAGGTAAATTTCTACTTTACTTTTAATACAGTACTACTTCATATGATGATCCTATAATTTTTGTTTATGTTATGCATTAGCTGTTTCTTCAATGATAATTACAAAATAGCCATCCCCCTGTATTGGTAGGTAGCCAGCTAGAAGCCTTGTTTGCAAACGCACACTTTCCGGCCCTTCCAAGGCTGGCGCTGAGCCACTGACCCTCCTCCACCTTAGAACCATGAAAATGATTGTCAGCTGGCACGTCACGATCTATCGATATAACACGTCTCTTGTATTTTTGTAATAATATGATTATATTGTAACAACTCAAGTCCACTACTAGCAGATATTGTTCTTCCTAGGTAGAAGTTTCGTTACCCTTAAAAAGAATGTTTCGTTCTCCTCCTAACTAATGTAGGATCTCACAATCCACCCTCTTCGGGGTCCAACGTCCTTGCTGGCACACTACCTTGTGTTCACCTCCCTTCGAGGCTCAGCCTCCTCACTAGCACATTGTTCAGTGCCTAGCTCTGATACCATTGTAACAGCCCAAGCCCACCGCTAACAGATATTGTCCTCTTTGGGCTTTCTTTGTGTCCACCTCCCTTCTGGGCTCAGTCTCCTCACTAGCACATCACCCAGTGTCTAGCTCTAATACCATTGTAACATCCCAAGCCCACCACTAACAGATATTGTCCTCTTTGGGCTTTCCGTTTCGGGTTTCCACTTAAGGTTTTTAAAACGCGTCTGCTAGAAAGAAGTTTCCACACCCTTATAAAAAATGTTTGTTCTCCTCCCCAATCGATGTGGGATCTCACAATCCATCTTCCTTTAGGACCCAGCATCCTCGCTGGCACACCGCATTGTGTCCACCCCCTTCAAGGCTCAGTTTCCTCACTAGCACATCGTTCGGTGTCTAGCTTTGATACCTTTGTAACAGCTCAAACCCATGCTAGCAGATATTGTCCTCTTTGGGCTTTCCCTCAAGGTTTTTAAAACGCGTCTGCTAAAGAAAAGTTTTCACACCCTTATTAACGATTGTTTTTTACTCTTTTGATTTTTGTGAAACTTTGTTTGCTTTGATCATCTCACATGACAACAAATCTAAAATGGTCGTGTATGTTAGCTTGTCTTCGTCTCCATAATGATATGATATTGTTAGTTAAAGCTCGGTAAACTCTTATAAATCATTCCTCTTAGATAATTTAATGTTCCAAGTCGTGTGAAGCTATGTTTTCTTGGACGAGTAAAATACGTGAACATGATTATATTCGACACCTAAGGATTCTATTTCCATGTCATCTTGACAGCTCACCAATCACTTAATAATGAATAAACATACTGTGCTTTAATATTGACATTTTTCACTACCAGCCCATCACTAGTAGTGCAACATGGAAGCTGCCAGCCGACGGAAGAAGGGTGGCGCAGCCCAATGCGGCGGAGGTGGTAGTAGGAGATCATGAAGATCAAGAGTTGAGGACGTTGGCAAGAAGAGAATTGGGTGGGCCTGGATCGTCGCCGCCACGGTGCGCATCAATGTGTGGGAAGTGCACGCCGTGCACGGCGGTTCATGTCCCCGTGCCGCCGGGAACTCCAGTGACGGCTGAGTATTACCCGGAAGCTTGGAGGTGCAAATGTGGGAACAAGCTTTACATGCCCTGATCGGAAAATGCATGCGCCGGTCACGTTCCAGCCGGCAGCCGCCTTTCTGTTGCTCGCCGTCGTTTACTTATGTTAGCGTATTATTCATCCGCCGATGAACCGGCGTGAAAAACCATGAATTTCCCTATGCTAATATATGATGAAATATGTAATATATGTGTGTGTTTACTTAATTAATAAATTAAATTGCAAATTATAAATATAACCTTTAACTATCATAACGGTCGATCTCTTACATTCAAATATTTTTTTTAATAAATTCATCAATTCAAATGGGTTGATGAGATCATCCAGAGCTATCTGTTAGTGAATGACGAAGGAGAACCAGAGTTCTTTGATGGGGTTCTACTGGGAAGATTCAACCAAGTGGAAGCAAGTCATAGATGATAGATGAGCTCACTTGAAAAGAAAAAATATGTGGGTGTTGATCGAGTTAGAAAAGAGAGTTTGTTGAACAAATGGGTGTTCAGAACCAGATGACTAAAGGAGGTTCAAGGCTCGGTTGCAGATCCATACAAGAAATATATGGTGTAAGCTCAATAGACACTGCATCGAAACAATGATATAAGAAGCTCAACGAAGAAGCTCAAGCTTGCGGTTGAAAAATGTAAGAGTTTCAAAAGCGGTGGCAAAAAATGGTGCTTGAAAAGGTTCATTTTAGCTAATAAGGACTCTCCAGCTGTGTGATGGATCTTCTTCTCATCTACTCAAGTTTGGCCATGGAGCTGGAAAGACAGTGAAATTCATATATGGTCGGTAGTGTCGATATTGATGGTAGTGACAATATTGATGATAGTGGCGATATCGATTGTGACCTTGACAATGGGGAGATGAGATGACCTATTACATGCTGCAACAACTTGGCTCAACATGTCTGGATGAATGTGCAAAATTGTGCCGGACACAAAATTATGAACCATTGTGTTTTTTGGTTTACAATCCAAAGATGTGAAGAAGAATATTCCAAAGGGTCAATCTTGTTTGTCTTTGTGGCGTGCCTCGACTGCTTCTGAATATTTTCCAAACTGCTTGTCGGTGGTGTTCTCACAATGCCCAAACTTTTCTAAATTGTTATCTATTTAAGATTTAAGATTTTACCGATTAGATTGACAACTAAATTAATAGGGATTGTTTGGTTCAGAGTTTGTAAGAAAATGTTCAGTTCGCCAATAGGTCAAGGCACTGAGAACCTCTATACATCTTAGAGTGGAAATGAGAGAACATAGCAATGAACGTCATCGTTAAAGTTTGCTAAGTTTAGAGTTTGTAAGAAAGTATCTTGCTTGTCGACAGGTCAATGTCGGGTTTGCCATTGAGTCAAGATATCAAAAAAAATAGGATATGGTCTTAGAGTGAAAATGAGAAAAGATAGTAATGAACGTCATTGTTGTACTAGTGTTGTAGCGGCCTCGTGTTAATAATTGTGAGATCAGTAGAAACTGAAAAATTAATATTTTAATTTTTTTAGTGGTAGCTTTTAAAAAAAAAAATACCATAAATTTTCAAAATTTTCAATAATACAAAAGTCTATTATATTTCAAAAATATCCTTAAACTTTTAATAATATTTCAAAAATATCTTGAACTTTAAAAATTTTCATTATTATCCTACGATTTAAAAAAAAAAATACCTTCACCATTATTACTCTATTTACCCTATTTTTATAAAAAAAAATAATAATATTATTGTCAATATATAGACAAAAATCGTCTATCGACCCTTCTAGAATGTTAAAATTATTTTTAAATTTTTTTAAAAAGTTTTAAGAGTATTAATTTTTTTTTTTTTTTGAAAAATTAATCTAAAAAGTATTGTATTTTTGAAATAAAATGTTTCTATTAAAATTAATTGTAATTATATTTTTAATTTTTTAAAAAATATTTAAGGATTTTTTTATAAAAAATTAAATGATATTATTATAAATATTTTTCAAATAAATATAGAATTTTAAGGATGTTTTTCCAATAATAATAAATAAATAAATAAAAAAGCAGCCAGCCAGCCAGCCTAATTATTATATTTTACATTTTTTTTTTTTTTTTTTGTATAAAATATTATGGTTGTGGGTTACCACTAACCCAAACCCTAACCTTATCTGATAATTATTTAATATCCAATTAATAGAAAATGAGTGGTTGGTTAGGTGGAAAAGCAAAGCAAAGCAAAGCAAGCTTGCTTCCATGGCGTCCATATTCCCCAATTTTGAAAACTCCATCACTTCTCACCACTCCCTTCATTAACCCTAAATCGTTTTCAAATCTCTCTCTCTCTCTCTCTCTCCATCATTCAGATCCAGAGGTTACCGAGGAAGCCAGGGCGTTGAAAAAAATGTGTCCCCTGAGATTTATTCTCATATTTCTCTCTGCGACTCTTGCCGGCTTTTTCGTTCTCCGTAACCTCAAATCGCAACCTCAAGATTTCGAAGCCGACGAGAATTCCGATGCGCATTCCAACGATTTGTCTTCCAATTCCACCTCCTCCAAGGTTCTTCTTCTGATTCTTTCTTCTTTTTCCTTTTTGTTTCATTCTTTGTTTGTTTGTTTGTCTGAATGGAACGATTCTGGCTTGTTTGAACAGGTGACTTCGGCTATGCAATCTGGATTCTGGACGGTGGTCGACATGGCCAGCGGTCGCTACTTGTGGAGGCATTTGTTTCCGTCGTCTCAGAAGCGTTCCGATTGATGAGAGATGACGATACGATCGGATTTGCGATTGCGTCGAGCCGAGCCGAGCCTTGGGGTTTTGTTTGGATTAATTGTATTGTTCAGGTTCGCCATTGTTGTTGGATAGTGCTATGAATCTCTTGTATATCTCCGTCGATCAATAATATCTCTCTTCCCACTTCTTCCCCCCTTTCCTGTAAATTTTGTAAAACCTCTCTTCTTTGTTAACATCCATGTCTACCAAAATAATACAATCAATGTTCATAAATTCCCTATTGAAAAACGCTTCTGGTCTCAATTGATTCCTCTTTTGTTCTTCCGTTTTCTGTATCGAATTTGTTCCGTGAAAGTGAAGTAATGCAGGAAGATCAAGGTCAATAAATTTGAAATCAAGACTATAAAGCTGATCAGCTTTAGGAATTGAATCGGGAATCGGGATGTGTTTTCGTCGGCCGGCGATAACCAGATCGGAACCCTAAGAGAGATTCGTTTCAGATTTTTAAAACTAAATTTAGGGCAATGCAAAGTTGACTAAAGCCTTCCGGTAAGATCGAGACGGCGAATTTCGATGCGAGACTGACAATGGGATTAAATCAATTAGGGCTAAACGACGAATTCATTTATATAAGCTAATAAATTCCCTTTCAAGTTGTACGCCAACGGTCTAATTGTATTATTGAGCAGATTTTCTTCTCCCAGAGAGACAGAGAGATGATGAAGAGGAAAGAGAAACCGGAGATGTCTGAATCTACGGCGGTTGCAGAGGAGGAGAAGGAAGACGATGAAGATGAAGGAAGCGCAACGAATTGAACGGCTTCTTTTCATGCTATCTCTTGGCCTCTGCCTGCCCTCGTTTCCAAGGCCATACCTATATCGGGTTCGAATCCTTTCCTTCTTCTCGAACAAATTTTCTGTTTCTCTATGAAATAATGGCTTGAAATCCTCCATTTTCACGATTTCTTGATGCTCGAATCTGTTCCTCTACTCCTCGATACTGGAAATTGTTTTACGATCTTTGAATCTGCAAATCTCTCGCTCTCTGCATAAATTGATCTCTGATGCTCGAATCTGTTCCTCTGCTCCCCGATACTGGAAATTGTTTTACGATCTTTGAATCTGCAAATCTCTCGCTCTCTGCACAAATTGATCTCTGGATACTCGAATCTGTTCCTCTACTCCCCGATACTGAAAATTGTTTTACGATCTTTGGATCTGTTCCTCTCTCGCTTTCTGCATAAATTGATTGAGGGAAAACATCAAGAAATATAGGAAATGCGTAAATCAATCTGCAGTGAACTGATTGGATTACTGTTTATATTTTTAATTTCAGATTCACAGTGAACCCTAAACGTAGAATCAGGCAGCACAATGGTGAAATTAGATGTCGTGCGTGACGAACTAAGAGGAAGAGACCATGGGAGATGGTGTTGTGCATCTATGGCTTTCCCACTCAAGTCTCTGCCCTTCAGGTTACATTTCCAGGCTTTGAGCTATACATCTTTTTATACATCTCGATTGCCTTCTAGGATGAACATTTTAGGGATTTTTGGCATACAGATTTACCAGACCATGCTAGGATTTCTGTCTTGATTAACTTTCCAGCAATGCTAGAATTTGATGTTCTAAGTATGGATGCAGTTTGGATGGGCCTGGCAGCATCCGAGTGAGTCGTTGGCTGTAAGAAGTGCTGCTGCAGGCGTTGCCAACAAAGTTAAACTTGCATACACAATGCTCACACTTCCAGCTCGGTTGGAAAGGGGAACGAATCATTCCTTTTAAGGGTGTGGAAACCTCTCTCTAATAAACTCGTTTTAAAACTGTGAGGCTAACGGCGATACGTAACTAATTTAGTTTCCTTTGTCTGTCAATCTCCCCATTCACTTTTTTCTTCCTTGATCTGTGCAGCTTGAATATCACTATAAACTACATCTCGACAAAGTACATGAAGAACACGGCCAGTTGCTCAAGTTTGCCCGAGCATATGAAGGTCCAAGTTTCTCTCATCAATGAGCTTCCATGCTATTCTGAAGGAGATCAAGGTGAGCTTGAAAACAAAGAACTTGAAGAAATGTATCATTTCCAAGTATATGGATCGATGAAAGTTGAAATTCCTCGAAAGTCGATGGATTACCAAACAGGTACAGATGGAATACCTAATGAACTGCATGGATGCGAAAAAGAACTCGAGGGCAACAAACGAGTGCTGCCTCGTTCATGTACTCCTTATAATGATGTAGATATGTCTTATGACTTGCATGGATGTGGTAAAGAACTCGAGTCTCCTCCATGTTCTCCATCTTATATCGTTGCAGTTATGTCCGGGGCCGAAATGATCAATGAATACGAGGAAGACCGACTAGAAGGTATTGGTATGAACTTGCAGCAACAACAACCTGGTAGAAAAAGGAATTTAACATCATGACCAATTCTCCTACGTTTATCCAATTGTAGAACAAATGGATGGATTTGGATTCTGCTTGGAATTAACTCATAATGGATATAGATAAAAATCACCTAACTTTGTAAATGTGAGCTTTATTGCATATATTTCACATACCAAACTATGGCTTAAATTATTGGGTCGGGAAAATAAGACCAAAAAAATATCAACACGTGACAACATCGAATCAATATTGAGAAAAATAGGAGAATTGGGCCCTTATTGGCTTTACGGGCCCACAACTTGTGCGATCCTTTTTAACCTAATTCAAAAAGGAATAGAATAAATGTCAACACGCGACAATGTCGAATCAATATTGAAGAAGAACCGGACTACCAAGAAAAAAGAGACGAGGAGAATTTGGCCCTAATCGGCTTTGTGTACCTACAACTCTTGTGATCCTAGTTCGTTCCATTTTTAACCTAATTAAAAAAGGAATATAAAAAAGATGTCAATACATGCCAATATCGAACCAATATTGAAGAAGAACCTGACTACTTTGATCGGTCTGTATGCCCACAACTCGTGTGATCTTAGTTTAGTATGTTTTTAATCTAAATGGATGAAAAATCTTAAATGGGTCATAAAAATACTCTTCTTCAATCTCGAGACATTAAACCATTGCTACACTTAAATTTAATATAAGTATTGAAGCTAGTGTGACAATTACAAACCCCTCATAACCGGTATATAGTTTTTCATTCATTTACTGGTCAACTTTTCTCTTCAAACAGACTTTACCGTAGAAAACAAGGCTAGTACCCGATCCGATCCAATCTTCGTCCACTAAAAATTCATCTCCCAACAAGACAGGAAAACAGGAAAACCACAAAAACAAACCTTTTTTCCTCGTACTATCATCAACATTAGTGGTAGAAAACCAATCATCATATTTAGACATGGATGGTTCAATCATGCCATTACTCTTTCCCCCCCCAAAAACAAGGCAGCATTATTGAACAATTCTCAGTTCACCCTCTGCAATATCAATGGCTTAAATGGATACTCAACCAACAACAACAATGGCAGCTCCACAATGATTTCTTTCCATTTTTGACGACTACCCATTAGAAACAGGTACATTTTCTCACATGGGTTCACCTCAAAATCTTTTCTTTTTACCTCTTTCTTCTTTGATCGTGTAAATATTATGCTACAAATGACAAACATTTGAAGTTGCAGATCATCATCGCTTCAAAATCAAGAACAATGTCAACAAATTCAGGGAATTTTGGAGGCAAATTTGGGAAAATGAGGCTTAAAAGCCTCAAAACAAGGGATGATATATTGACAGTGGATGAAGATTACCACACAGGAGTATCAGCCACAGTGCCATTCATATGGGAGTCCGAGCCAGGCACTCCCAAGGCCAATTTCAGGGACCATGGCTCACTCCTTTCGCCTCTCACGCCCCCACCATCCTATTTCTCCTCACCCTCACACACACCCTTCAAGCATAAATATAACACCAACCCACATCCCTCTCGAGCCAATTTCCTCACCTCGGTTTTCAAGAAGCTTTCTGTAAATAAGGCTCCTCTCCATCCCCTCTCTCCCGGCTCCTCCTCGTCATCGACTTCGTCTACGACACTGACAAGCTCTGAGGGAGAGAGAGGAAGAAGCCCAAGGAGATTGTCGTTTGATTCGAGAGTGGATGAGAACGAGCACGAAGACGAGGAAGAGGAAGAGGAGAATTTCGACTCGCCGGTTTCGACTTTGTTCTTTGGACGTGGTGGAGGATCGAGTGATAAAGGATGCTATTGCTATCCAAAGTTGGTGAAGGTATTCTCCAAGCATTGTTCTAAATGAAAAGTGATATCATTTCATGGTGTTGTTATATCCAGAGATTAATGTAATATATGAGTTGTTGTAGTTTACTCTCTCTTAATGAGAAGAGCTTCATGTTGTTCACAATGTTCTTGTTTCTTAAAGAAAAATGCATACGTGCACATATTCCCGTTAAACAACGTTTTACTTTTTTCGTTGAAAGATACGCTCGGTTCTTCTCGACTTTGTATCATCAAGTCGACGTTTTCCTATTAATCCGACCCAAATTGTACTAGTCAATTAATACATGATTGATTTGTCTCTTGTCCTAAGCTTTTCTCGATTAGCTTCGTATTTCAAGAGTTGATTGAGTTTTTTGTGGATCAACGTTACTCACATTTCGATGCATCGGTTACTAAAATTAGTAACCTTGTCAGGAGGTCGATCACCCACTATCAATTCATTTTACTCTATTTATTCCAAGACGATGATTCGAATGTGACTAAGAAGAGAATAGCATTAAGAAAGAGAGCAAAAGGGGGTGACCAGGCGAATAGTTCGGTTTATGAGGCGAAAAGGGTGAGAGAGTTGAAAATTCCCCGAGCCTCGGATGGTCAACCTATGATTGGTGTAGTTGAAAAATCATTTTTTTTATATGTTAATTTGACTTTTAAAATATTCGAGTTATTTTCTTACAAACTTAAGAGATTCGTGAAGTGACATGTATGACAAAAATATTATTGTGTTTATTGAACGATATTAATAATTTATGTATACACAAGGTGATGTACGTTGTTACACAGAAATTAAAAATCACACCTGTCACAAAAAAGAAAACACGAATAGGAACAAGAACACGATTACGATTGGATCATATAGCAATCAGGAAATGAGAGTGGAGAGCGATTTCAATCGGATCTTCCGCAGACTTTTCTAATCTCGCCATCGGACCCAGTGAGGGGTTGGATGTGAGACATCTTAATCATGGCTCGAACGAAGTCTCGATTGAAGGCCCCATTGTCTCGACTGTACTTTTTAACTAGAGAGTCAGTGGAGCCGCCGGAAAACAGCACCTGGTCAGAATGCAGCAGACCTTTCTTCTTAATAAGGTTGTCGAAGTATTTGTTGTCGAAAACCATGGGCGTTTGGATGTCGAATGGAGCAAGATTGTCGATGCCTATGCGCTGTTTTTTGGGACATTGTCGCTGTCTCTTCTTTGCAAATCCAGCGTTGATATGGCTCTTCTTGTATATGCGTGTTTTGAATTGACTACATCTTGCTAGTCCAATGGTGTGACCTCCTATACATATTTTAAAAATATTTATAAAATTTTAAAACCAATGAATTTTTATTTATTTAGACAAGAGAGCAACCTGAGAGGGCAACCATGTCGGTAGTAGAAAGGCCTTGTTTTTTAAATGTAGAGATTAGAACGGAGAGATTGGAGTTTGGTGAAGGAAGCAATCCGCTATTGGCATCAGAAAAGCTTGCTGTTTTTGAGTCTCTTCGTCCAAGTTTAACATTCCAAAACGGCCCTCCAAGCTGTATAATCATAACAATAATTAACACTAACTCAACTCAACTCGACAAGACCTGAAAGAACATACCAATGCAACGGAATCCCGAGCAGCAATAGTCAAGATATCAGCACACGACACTACGCCAGGACACGACTTCTCAACTCTAGACTTGATTTTATCGATCACATCGAAACTTCTAAGCGAGTTTTTGTTGGGATTTGCATTTTGTTCGCCTACGAATGACCCATGATCGTCTAGCAACACTGATGCATCGCATCCCTGATAACCATTACTCAACTCAAAAGCTTAAGCGGGCAATCGGGTTATGAACAAAAGTTTGATAATATATGTCGAGAGAGTGAGAATGAACTTACGTTGACGAAACAGTCGTGAAAGTGGAGACGAAGGAGAGAAGCTCCGATGCGTCGTTCCTTTGAGATTTGATGTTTAAGGATGGATTTAACGATGGAGAAGAGCTGAGGACAGCTGGTGTGGTAGAACTTTTTGGAGAGATGAGAGGAGGAGCTGCCGGCGGCTGCCGTGCCGGAAACCGCCGTGAAAAGCAAGGCGGCGAATATTATAATATTCATCTTGTCAATAATTGAATTAATTATCAGACAAGGCCTATGCAGCTATATATATATATATATATATAATAAAAAAAAATTAACTGAACTTTTTTATTATTTGCAAATTTATTATTTTATTATTAAAAAGATAATAAACTTATTTTTTGTTCTTTTAACTTAAATACTTTAGGTTTTATGTCAACTAAAATCATATTATTTTATAAATTATTTATAGCTAAAGCAACCATAAATAATATTAGAAATGGAAATAAATAAAAGGTTAAATTAATAAAAATATTTTAAACTTTAAATTTTTTTAATAATACTCTTAAATTAAAAAAAAAAACAATTCAAATATTATTAATTTATTTTTAAAATATTCTTCAACTTTCAAATTTTTATTAATATTTTTAAATTTAAAAAAATAATAATAATAAAGAATATTCTTATGGAACTTTTTAAATTTTTATTTTTAAGAGAATTAATGTTATCTTTAAATTTTGTATGGCAATTTTTGAAACGTTGTATAAATAATAATGGAATTTTTTTAATTTTTAAAAAGAATAAACATATTTTTGAAATTTTTTAATAATAAAACTTTTAAAAATGGAAGGATATTTTTTAAAAAAAAAAAAGTATTATTAGATTTTAGTAAGATTTTTTTTTTTAATTTTAAGAGTATTTTGAATTTTTTATTATTATTATTTTATGGGTATTTTGGATAATTTTATTAATTTAACCTAAATAAAATTATTTTTTAGTTTTAGTAAATTATTTTTAAAAAATGATTAATCACATAAAAATAAAGAAAATATATATATATATTGTTATTTCAATTTCATTCTTCTTTTATATTTTATTCAACATTTATTTCTATGTTTGTTAAATAAATTTAATTTTTCATTAAATTTTTAATTTTAAATCTAATAATTTACCATTTTAATTTAATACTTAATTATATTTTAAATTTTAAAAATTAAATATAAAATTAAAAGTAAAAACTTAATTCAATAACATAAAATTTATAACGGAACCCCGCCCTTAACCCATTAATGAAAAAGAAAAAATAAAAATAAGTACAAGAAAGTTTAGGACCAAAATTTTGACTTAATCAGAGTAATAACATAAAGTTTTGGACCCATCATTGAAGCATTCTTCAACGAAAATTCTAGATCG